ATTAATATGTACACGGTGCATCCGGAATGTAGGTGGAAATAGCGAAAATAAAGATACATTTACACAAAGTTTTATGTTAATTATTTTCAATATTTGCAGCCATGATTACGGATAAACGCAAGATTTGGCAACGCTTTCAAAGTATATCTAAGAGTGTAGAGAATTTTTACAATTATCAGCCGACATTTTGCAACTATCACAAACGATTGCTGGAAGAATTATGTGAGGATAATATATTCTATGCAGAATTGAGAACGCCACTGACACCGGTATGTTCTAGCATTTGCCGTTTGAGAGATGAGTTAAAGCTTTTAATATTGTTGCCCATTTGCACTTTTGATCCAAAAAAATATTGCTAGCTCTATGGCGATAACAATCGCACATTCAATGCACTTGAAGTGGCCAGTGAAATGGAGGCAATCGTTGAGGGCTTCAAGGCGCGTCACCCCGATTTTGTGGGACTCAAGGTTATCTATACAAAGCCCAATGAGGCGTCTGTGGATGAAATGGCACAACACTTAATAACTTTTAAGCAACTGCAGTGAGTATAAATACAGACTCCTTTCGTAATTCTGATTAATATTTTTACGGTAAACTTTTTGTTTGCAGTGATGCCAAGCCAAATTTTATTATTGGCTTTGATTTGCTTGGGCAAGAAGATGCCGGCGATCCGCTGCACAAATTCGTCAATGAATTAACAGATATGCCATCAACTGCCAACTTTTTCTTTCACGCGGGCGAGACTAGTAAGTTTGTGCATACATAGACTATATTTCAATAGGGATACTCGTATACTAAAGATGGGCACGGTCCCAGTTTTAAAATGCCCGGATGGCCGGTATCGGCAAGGCCTTTAAAAGTTTGCTGTCGGGAAGGGAGCAAATCCTTTCCCGGCACTCCCAATAAAAGTCGGAACATCCAAATATTTAAAAAATCTACTGAAATGTTCGAGAAAAAAGATATTCAAGTATATTATAGAAAAGCAATTTGAAGGTCATGCGAATTTTATTTAGTGGAACCCACGAGAACAGATCTGAGAGACGACAAGATGGGTGGGTTCAGAATATGAAAATTCTATATTCGGCTTGGACGGGATCGGGATTGAATATTAGTGCCGCGCTCCATCTCTAATTCCAACATCAAGTTGGATGCTGGTTTACAAAAAGATTACAATATTTTCCGCTCATGTGTATGAAAAGAACTCTCTTAATGAAGCAGAAGTTGTTAGCCCTTCTGTACGGCGCACAGTGCAAAAAAATCATTTTGCGTCAAAAAATCTACCAACCCCTAAATCTTCCGGACAGGACAAACCTACACGTTGCTATGTGTGGTATGTATAAGAGAAAGATCAAGATCTTCTGTAACTAAACAAGTAATTCTTAAACAAAAAAACAAACCCGACTTCAATTCTCATATAAAAATTGAAGAATACCGTTAATTTCTTCATGATCCAATGATCGGATCTTAACCAAATTAGAATGGCACCACCCCTGAGCTACCACCTTTCCTTTGAAAAGTCGGTTAACATGGTCCAAAGTTATGCGGTAACATACAAAAATAATAATAATCCGACAAATTGATAACCTCTTCCCTTTTTGAAATCGGTTAAAAATAGATAACTATCGTTATGGAGTCTTCCCTGAACGCACTCTACAGGTCACTCATCACTGTTGCAAAACGCAATCATTTTTGGGTGCAGGATTTTTGAATGATCTAAACGAAGCGGCAAGCACACGGCAACAGCTCAAGTTTGTTGACTTTACGAATTGGTTTTATAGAAGACTCGGGGCTGTCGATCCTTGTGGTATTGCAAAGGGCTACATTGTTGGAGGGGGTTTGCTGGTAGTACTACCAGTAACCAGATAAACCTAACAGAAACTAAGGACATCTACGGCAAGAATCATAATAAAAATATCGATAATGTGTAGGCAAGTATCAGCCGCGCTGCTAATGCCGATAACGAAAGCGACGTTTATACCAATACCGATAATATTCGGTGTTCTGTGTTCGCTTCACTCTTGCATGGCAAATTGATTTTACCATAACTTCGTATATTTTATTTTATCAATTATCACTTTCTTCCTTGCAGAAATTCTCACAATAATTATTAAGCATTTCCTTTCATTCCATTTAGATTGGTTTGGCAAAACCGATTGGAATCTCATGGACGCACTACTGCTCAACACTAAACGCATTGGCCATGGTTATGCACTGCCAAAGCACCCAAACATTTGGTCAACCGTCAAGAAACGTAACATTGCCATCGAAGTTAGTCCGATTTCAAATCAGGTAATGGGTCTTGTGTGGGATTTGCGCAACCACCCGGCCACATTTCTTATAGCCGAAAACTTTCCGATTGTCATAACGGCCGATTACCCGGGCATGTGGAATTCAAAAGGTTTGAGCTACGATTTCTACTACACCTTCATGGCGCTGGCGCCAGCTGAGGCGGATTTGCGGTTTCTCAAACAGCTCGCTTTGAATTCAATAAAGTAAGCACTCGTATGGGACTAAATAATTCACTCAAATGAAATGATATACGTTTTTATCTTCTTTATACTAAAAATAGGTATGCCATCTTAACGTCTGAGGAGCGTCGCAAAATTAATCGCGTCTTCCAGAAGAAATGGGAAGAATTCATTTATAATGTGATTAACTTGAAATTTTAAATTAATATTTATTAACTAAGTAGATAAGTTATATTTATCAAAGCAGTATTTTATTTATAACTACATAGATAATTAAGACGCCAGTTGATTTAATAAAAACCCTAATAATTTCACTTAAACGGAATGCCATTGTGAATAACTTTCATTGTTTGGGTAATTTACACCACACCGGGCGCAAACCAGCCGTGCAGGCATTTTGGCACTGGCCCACTGGTATGAAATTCGCAGCGTCCCAGCTCAGTCCATGTTTTGGCGCACAACACCAGCAGTCCCACGGAGTTCTCATTCAAGCCACCCCAAACGATAGAGGCCAACACCACACCATCATCTTCGTCTTGGCCATTTGGCGCGGCCACAAATACCGGCTCGCTGGGGTAACAATTCGGTTCGCACCACTTTTCTATGGTTTTCGTTTCCACATCGACTTTGACGAGCTGTGCGCAGATAGGGAAATATAAAAGTACATACAAGTATATTATGTAAGCTCTGAATATAGACACGGAAACTATGAAATGAAATACTTACAGTTCCTGGATTTTCAGCATCCACATCTGAACTAATTGCATAAAAGTAGCGGTATTTTTTACCTAAAATATCAATTCAAATAAGCTATGAAACCCACACAGGCACAAAACCATTAAACCTACCCAAAAACTTGTCGTAGTGGAAACGCGGTGTCTCGCAACCCCAATCGCAAAGCAACTCTGGTCGCACAAGTATGCTTCGATTACTCAGCTGATACGCCTCTGCCGTGCTATACTCTAATGTGACTAAATTGATCATTGTTTCACCGTCGACTCTCTCTTTCGCCTGCTCTCTTTCGTCAGCACCAACGCTGTACTCTAGCATCTCCTCTTCCTCCAGTTTTTTCAGAGCCATTTTTGTTACATCCTCGTAATTCGACTCGGAGTGCTTCATCTTCGGTGGCGGCTGCAGGCGCGTACTTATGCCCGAAAGCGAGAAAGATTTCGCCACACGCCGCTGATTGGTTGGCCGCTCTTTGAACACCGTCACAGCGGCATTCTCAGCGCCCAAGGGCAGCACAAACCGCAATGGGCGTCCACGAAAATGTGACGCATAGTTCGGATTCGATTGCATATTCACAATGGACTCTAAGTACATGCAATTGATCATTTCGGGATCCTTATAGCAGCATATGTCGATCACTACGTGGTTGTCTTCCTCATACTGATTGATGATGTGTAGATAGAAGAAAGCTTCCGATTGAAAAGTGTAGCGTACTTTACCACTTTTGCGATCCATTAAATGGAACAACGTTGGCTTATCCTCGAACCATTTGAGACACGAGGCAAGTTGCTCATTGGATACAGTGGCTTTGACGAATTCCGTCAACGAAACGGACAGTGGCTGCTCAACGATAACAAAGTAATGCTCCGTAATGCCTGTGAAATGAGAATTTGTTGGCAAGTGTAAACTACTTAGTATATATGTATGTAAATTATATCATTTTATGCNGACAAGAAATCGCACCCACGATATGAGCATCCTCAAACATTTGCTCTCCATTTGGAAAGCAAATAATATTATAGGCAGGTCCTGATTTGGTGGCGGCCATGCCGAGATTATACACCGTGCCATTGGGCAGCACATGCGGATGTGAGGTGTGATTTACGACACCCGCAAAATCAGTCACGCAGATGCGGCCCTCGGTGGCGAGTGTGCGCGGATTGATTCTGTACAAGTGGAGTAACATTGAGAAAGTTCAAAAAGGCTTCGACTGGTTAAAAATAAATAAAAATAAATTTAAAAGGCAAAGTACCTGTGTATCATGGGCGTTTCTGCAAATGTATAGTACTCATCGCCGAATGGATAAATGGATATCATGGAGTTGTCGGAACCGCTGTCAGGTCGAAATATTGCAGATACTCTAGGAAGTGAAAAGATTTTCAGTATGGAATAACAGATCAACATATTTGGTCTAAAGCTATGTACATAAAACATCTGCCGCCTTAACTTACCTATCGAATATCGAGTGACATGGATCCGGTACCGACGCTGTACCAAATTCTGTCACAACTATCCGCTGCGCAGCTCGATTCTTCTTCAATGTTTCAGTCTGAACAAAACGATTCTGATATGTGACCCGCCCATTTTTTATAGCAAAGCGGTGCACCAAAGCTGAGCAATCGAACAAATGTTGGAATGTCATTTCGCCCACCTTCCAATTTCCAGGACCATTGCGCAGCAAACTGCCATTCAACCATGTGGGTATGTGACCGCTAATGTGGCCTTCGATGGGTTCCACAATCTCTTCTTCACACGAACGCAGCCAGACATCTGAGGCGCAATTGGGGTAACAACGTCCGCCGCCATCAATTCGCACTGATTCGGGATCATGTGTTTTGGGATTGTATTTTATCTGAGGAATGGCATAGATGTCGTACATTATATTTATTTCTTTTAAACTATTTTCGATCTTATGGCGAGGTGATTAACTAATCTAAGCGTTTTCCATAGGTTTCTGGGGATGATCAACTCCTACTATGTATCAGGACCAACCTTAACCACCCAAGCGAGGAAACAGGGAAATATCATTTGTGTGTATGTCTAACAGAGTAAAGAGATAGTGTAAAAGCCAAAGGCTTTATATACCAACCAAATCTCTGTTTTATGTTATTGTTTGTTTTATTCAACAAATAACATCGGAATCTTCGTGGCTGAGTTTTATAAAAAAATGGTGAGACTCGTAAATTTAATTTCCGATCTGTATACCATTTTTCTAGATAAGGCCATTTTCCGCAGATATTTTCGTTTTAAGTTAGCATTATGAATGAAAAAAAAAGTTAACTTTAACATGGAACATGTCACTCTACGCCATGTACGAGTATGTACGAGTACGGCCATGTAGATACGATATGGCGTATGAGTAACATTGTTGCCTCAAACTAATATATATATTCTATTACTAACTATATTCAAGAAGAACAGGTCATTTTCAAAACTTTTTCGTACTTCTGCATGAAAAAATTTACCTATGTTGTTATTCTACATTGCACTGCATTTTTTCAATAATTGTTTGCATTATATTATGTATTTGAAATTTTAAAGTCCTTAAAGAAATTCCGACGTCAGAGAGAAATCCTAAAAACACAAAAAAATCTACAATAACTTTCTACATCCAGATTTCTTATATCCCATGATAATGAACTTTAATCAGTGGCGGATGCAGCGGGGGGGTTTTGGGGGGGTTTTGGATCCGCCACTGACTTTAATATATCGATTCTTATTATTGCTGAACATCTTAGCACCTTTGGCAGAAACCACGCCTGTATACGCAAATAAATATACCTCACTAGGCAAAGAATCTCAAACAAATACATTTATGTAGATATTTCACTTCACGAACGCAATTGTACGAAAATTTGGCAACAGTAAACAAAAAAAAAGCACACAAACAAAAGACAACTGTTCATGCCAGTGGCAAATGAGGCACTGCCGCCGCCACCCAGCCGCGATTTGGCCACTGTAATTTGGTATGGCTTCAGTTTACATATGAAATCTAAGTAAAGCCGGATTATTTGCACTTGAATATATTTGAATGTAAGCATTTGAACGACTTAAGCCACGGCTAATATGCATTGTTTTTGAATTCCTTAAGCTTTCACGGCAACAGATATGCCTTAACTAAACCAAAAATATTTACTTAGCTGCCTAAGGCTGGTATTAGCCGATAGTCGTCGTACATTCATATATATGTATGTATGTATGTCTGTAATTGGGAAAATTATTTGCGATTTTTTGCTCAAGTACACGTGGCGTGGTAGAGCCAAAAAGCTTTCTGCTGGCGCGTCGCCGTAGTTGAGAGCATTGCCACAAGTTTGATTTCAAGGGCATTGCATTTTTGCTCAGCCGGCAAGGATACGCTTTTTAACATGCCAAGCAAATACGTATGTATGTACATATGTACATTCCAAGCACAACAAAAGCTTGTGCACATGTATGCATCTATAAAAGTAAACTGTTTTTGCAGCATTACATATATGCGGCGTTGGTGGTGTGGTACTCGTGTTCTCTTCGAGTGTATTGGTCGTCCTTGCTCTTGACACTGTACCAGCATGACACTCAAAAGCGAAATGCGAGGCTTTTGCATACATATCTACATACATATATGGATGTATACGTATTTACTTATGTACATATGTACATTCATTCGTGTATGTGCATACCCTGCGGAAAAAGATTATCAATTGGTAAAACATAATCAACTTGTAGTCAGTTTTTTTGCGGGGTTTCGATAAATAGCTCACTTTTAATTAGCTATGACAAAGTAACCTCCTTTTTTAATTCGAAGCTATAATTTACATTTATCTACAGTGAAAGCTCTCATACACGGACGCTCTAATAAGCGGGCATCTCGTAAAAGCGGACACATTCTTGGTTTTTACCAAGCTTTAATCATTTCAGAATCTTGTTGCCTGTCGGACGTGGCAATGCAATATATTTCGAAAAGGCTGTCAAATTGAGAAATTTCAGAAGGCAGATGCATGAACAGTGTCTTTCAAAAGGGGTTTTTTTTTATTTCCGAAAAGCGAATTGCAGATTGCAACTTTTATTTGTGAAACTTATCTCCGAAATGTGACAGAAAGGTCTTTCTGGCTATTCACACATCGAAATAAAATTTCTCTTTCTCAATTGGAAATATTACCACGTCTGACACGCTCTATAGAATATGCAAAAACTAGTCTAGACATCAAACTCGTCGGCAGATATCGCAGCAAAGAACGTAGAAGTTGTGTTTTTGTATTCACCAGCAAAAAATATTCGGTAATTTGCCAGTAACCAAATTTCGGAGAGTAAGCCAATACTTCTACTCCCAATGAGAGTAATATGCAAGAAAGTGCGAAAATGCAAAACCAGCAAGATGTTGCAAACAGCTGATTAATTTGTTATTTTCTGAAGCAATTTTAATTTAATTGATACGATAAATAAAACATTGCAATATAGGTATCAAACTGAAGAGATTTAGGGAAGTATTTTTGAGGAGGGTTGCCACCTGTTTGAAAAATTATATTTAATTAAATTGTTAAATAAAATGAAATATTACAATACGGGTATCCAACAACACAAAAATACATTCAAGGAGCAGTGAAGCACGCCGGGTATTAGCTAGTCTTTAGTGATAATAATAGAATGGCGCTTACACATATATATGTATGTCAGTGTATGGCCGAGCTTGTGGCGTGCTAGAGCTTTTAGTTTATTTTCTGCCGCAAATCTAAGCGAAAACAATAAAAAGGAAATCGAGTTTCTACTACACTATATTAGATATTTCGAGAAAATACATTTCTTGAATGTTTCAAAAGCTTAAGCTGATGAATTGCAATCAATGATGGTAGATGTCTTCAAAAAAAATATTCATTTCACTTTTATTTATGATATTTGTGTCCGCATAAATCTGCAGTTGTGAAAAATTTACCGCTGTCAAAAAAGATTTAATTTTACACAGCAGATTGGCAAAACTGTCTCACCATAGTAAAAATATAATTCCCCAGCTTTCCGCACAGAACTTTGTTAACGATTCACACACGCCCAAAAATTGTAATTTATTCGTTCAAATCGGAAATTTCGAAAAAAACTGTAATTTGTACACTGTAATTTTCTGTTAAAAGCAGTGATGTAAATTTTCGGGCATAACATGATCAGTAAACAAGTAATTTATATATATATATATATATATATATCATGATCCACTGATCGGATTTTAACCAGATTGGTATAGGACCACCTCTGAGACACTACCTTTCCGATGCAGAATTATCGAAATCGGTTGACGGCATTTCCAATGAAAAAATCTTTTTCCGCTACTTTTTTATAAACAATTAAACATACGCAAAAAATAAAATCAATAACTTGTAGCCCATTGAAATTTCGTAAAATGAGGAGCAAGTTTAAAAGTTAAAATGTCTTAAAGCAGTTTGCAGTTCGCAAGAAAAAAATGCTGCAATATTTATTTCTCCAAGAATATTTACAGCAAAAACAAGTACTTTTTCAACCAACAGAAATAATGAAAAAATATGTTTTGTGATTTTTCTTGAGAGCTTAATGCGAAAAAAAAAATAATTTTCCCCGAACAGGTTCACTTTTCACTTTTAATAGTTTCCATGGTTTTACTATGGGCGGATGAAAAATTTTCGGTTGAATTTTTTTTTTTTCATGCGAAAATCAGGATACTGCAGATTTTTCTTACTTTTTTGCGACCAACGAGGAAATTTTCAAATGGGACCAAACAAAATACTCATTTTATTTAACGCAGTCTCATATATGTATGTATGTATGTACATACAAAGTATATTTACTTGATCCTTGAATAAATTTAAAATTTGAGAGAAATATTTCACTCAAGCCATAACATTACAAATTGTTCTTTTTCTTTGCATTCGCAACTCCTTTTTTTCTTGAAATATAATCCACAGAAACTTCAGTATGATTTTCTTTTCAGATTTCTGAAAAATTACATTTTGATCGCAGACTTTTTGAATCATTCTCGTTCGCAACAAAAATTTCAAGGTTTCTAAATTTCATGCAAAATTTTTCCAAAAAAAAATTTACAGTACAACTCAAAAATTGCATAAACTGTTGAAATAAAAATTCAAAATTAAGCAAAAATTTTAACAAACCGCAAAAAAATCTCGTATAAAAGTCCTTATAACGCCTTCGGCCATAATCGTTAGTTGGATTTCGATTATCGTAGCGCGACAACAAAAAAAAATTTACAACAAAAAAATCAAGGATAATTATGTAGTATAGCTGCTGCCACGACAGGAAAAATTCACAACTTTGCCAGCAGGTAATTCAATTCCTAGACGAAGCGTTGCGCTCGAAATAAAAATGACAACTAATAGAAATGTAAATACTTTCCGCCACAAATGGTCATAAATATCAGACAGCGTAGCAGAGAAGCCGGTCAGCGGCAAATGCAAATTATAAAATCACGTGTATGTACGTGTATGTTTGGCAAAATATAATACCTTAAGTAGTCAATATGTGCATAGCACACACAACCGCAGAGAAACCAAAGCAAAAACTTAAGCAGCTGGCGCAACCGCCCACCACCCCGGGCGTCTGTAGGCTAGGGGGTGCGTAGCCATAATAGCCTTTGTTGCGGTGCCGCACCACTGAGTACTTAGCAATTTATGAATGGTGCGGCTAAGTGGTGAATGCCCGCATTAATTCCGAAATTTGACACCACTCAGCAGATATGCTCGTATGCTGCAATTTGTCGCAATCAAAGCAGGAAGAACATTGACCGTCACTTACACTAAACGGTGACGTCTGCCGGCAAATGTTTGTCTTGTCAGCAAACGAAGGCCATTCGTGATACTCGTAGGTCGAATTTTTTAATTTTTTTTTTAGGAAATCAAAAGTGGTGATTTTTACAAGTATGTACTTACTCGCATTTCAACACTCATGTTGATAGTTTTTATTCAAAAAGCTAAATATTTCACTGAAAGTGAAATTAATTTCGTTAACTTCTTGTTGAGATAGTTAAATCTATTCAAAACATTTCTGTTCGAGTTGCAAGGTGCAGCTACATATGTGCGAATACATACATATGTATGTTTGTATATGATATATTAAAAAATTTAAGAAAGAAACTTAAGGGGCTTCATAGCATTTATGTATGTATGTGCACGTAGCGAAAGATATGTACATATATTTGTAGATATGTATTTTATACACCAACTAAAAAATGATAGCAACTTAGTATGTATTTACCCTTGCACGTACATACAGTATCGGTCATATCTATAGCACGCCATTTCAAAGTGATATTGTGTGCCGCTTATGTTTATTTATTTATTTTTAAGAATTTTCAATTAAAATACATGAATTTTGCACATTATCAAGCTAAAATTTCAGGGGCTAAAAAACTGTGTACTCAAAAAAATTCTATCACTTCCGAGAAAAAAGTTTGAAATTTAGGTGAAAATTTGTTACACTTTTTTGTAGTTTTCTACAAATTATTGAACTTGGGTATATATGGCGTTTGTCCGAGAATGAACTAAATTTTAATTGAAAATTCTTAAAAATAAAGAAATAAGCATAAGTGACACACAATATCACTTTGAAATGGCGTGCTATAGATGTGACCGATACTGTACATATGTATGTAGGATTTTTTCCAAATATGCGAGGGGAAAGGTAAGGGAGAATGACGACACCTATAGATTCTTGTAAGAGAAACGCTCCATGCTCGCAACGAAGCTCTTCAAGCGACTGATGTCCATTCGCGAAAGCTCATCAGGAGTGTGAAAAAAATGCGACCCAAGGCGCTTACGTTTTAGGCTCGCAGCGGCAGGGCACCAGAGCAGCAGTGGTTGGAATGATTCCACCTTATCATCCTCCATGCAGCTGGTGCAGTAAGTGTCATCGATGATGTTCAGCCTTACGGCATGCTTACCTATTGCGCAACGAGCAGTTAGCACTCCCACCAATAGCATGAGATGTAACTTGCTTAGTCTCAAGAGGTCCCCAGATCTAGGGTCTACACGTGGCCAATAGGATGTTTCCACCTTGCATTCCAAAGTCTTCGCCCAGCGCTCGCTAAAATGACTAAAAGCCCATCTATCCAGAAGCAGACCGCACGAGATCAGGGGAACTCCCAGACCTCTATACGGAAGTAATTCCTCAAGGGTAATAAATATTCTCTCAGCATCAACAATCTTAGTTTTATGATTCCGTTCAAAAATTTTTTTAATATTTTATGTAAATTTTTTAGCGTAAACTGTTTAGTCATCTGAGGCCATCTAAAAAAATTACTTTAAAAAAACTATTTTATTCATAAAAAAAAAGCATTTTTGAGGTATTTTCAAATTGGTCCAGTTCACGCAAATCTTAATATTTTTCCGAAACATTTTGGCGCAACTCTTGGAATATAATAGATTTTATAGTTCCAATGAAAAAAGAAGTACCGAATATTTTTTTGTATGAGGAGTGATGTATCCCTAGTAAAATTTAGTTTGGAGACAAACCGTTTTCGGTGTTGCGGCATCTTGAGTGTAATTTTTCGTTCTCACGAACCGAAAATCGTTCCACATGCATCATACTCCTATCGGAAACACCAACAACGAAAATCACAATAAATATGAGCTTCTCTAAACTGGGCTGGTATTGACTGGAGCTTCTTTTGCTTGAAAAGCATTGTAAGTGAATTTAAGAGAACCCATTAACCCATTTTATTTTCTAAATGAATTTTGTGTAGTTTATATTACGAAACTGGTATTTTGTATTCAATTTTACGATTACTTTTTTTTCCTTTAAATACTACCAACATATTTGTGAGCGGGTACCAAGCATTAAGCACCAGCGAAACGTGAAAAATGCCAAGCAAAGAAATTCTATACCTTATTCTATGTATGAAAATGAGGGTGGTTCTTAAATGTAGGAAGCAAATTTTTACATCAGATTTCTTAAGCTTCACTTAAGGCGAAGATATCACATATAAATTTTGGTCCCGATTGGAGACGGTTTAGGCGTGTCGCGCGGGGGGCAAAGTTCAGATTCCTCTATGAAGACTCAAAAAATTAAAATAATTTTTTTTTTTTTTTTAATCAATTAAAATAGATACTGCCATAGTTAAAGATATCACATATAAATTTTGGTCCGGAGTCCGAAGTCGGTTAAGGTCAGGGTTCAAAGTTCAGATTATCCTATGAAGACGTCTTAACCGACTCCAATCGGAACTAAAATTTATATGTGATATCCTCGACTTTAGTACTATCGATTTTGGGCATTAAATGAAAAAAAAAATAGTTTTAATTTTTTGAGTCCTTAGAGGCATCTGGTCTTTGATCCCTTTGCGACACGCATTAAAAGATCCTTCATTTATTTAAGGACCACCCTAATGAACATACTCAACTAATCGGATGTTAAATACTAGGCAGCCTTTTTACCAACATGACCTTGGCACCATTCTAACGTTCTTTAGAATTATTATGTACCCGTAATTTGTTGCCTTGTGAAAGCGCGCACATTGTTGTGGTTGCAATACGACACTAAGAAAATGTTAAATAAATATAAAAGCAAATTATAACTAATAATATAATTATTTGCATACTCTTCACTGCATGTCCATGCATTATGCATACATACATACATACATATGTACATGTTTTTGCACCATGAGCAGCAATCAAGTCAACAACCGTTAAAGAGCACCAAAAAATAAAGGAAAATAAACTTGTAAGCCGGCTTCCGAATCACAGAACGAAAATAAGCCATTTGAAGAAAATGAGGTAAGTACGAATTAAAACAAAAAAAAATATTGTAAAAACAAAATTTATGATATTAGTGCAATTTGATAAAAGCTAAATCGTTGACAAGCTTTCCATAGAGGAAGTTAATAAGAAGCGATATGTGAACTATTTATCATTTAAGAAAAACTATCGAAATGGAAGTTTGCAACATTTTCGGAAATAAAAATATTTAGATATTCATTTTTTCACAACCAATTAAATTAAATTAAAATTTTCAAACAGATGGCAACCCGCAACAAAAATATTGCATATTTACTTTATCTTACTAATTGACTTAAACTGTAATTTTCAAATAGGTGGCAGCTCTCAAATGTTTCTTCTTCTATATTTTAAGTTAGACCTCTAGCGATCCTCACGTCGGTGAAAACTGCAGTCGATGCCATGCATTATTTTTCAAGTGATGCACGTACAAACAAACAGACAGACAGACAAAAATTCTAAAAAATTTGTTGATTTAGCTTCTGTTGCCCTTATAAAGACCCTCCATATTAACTTTTATTAAGTATCTATAATGTGCAGACACCGGCCTGTTATAATTTTATTTAAGAACTTTTAAATATAACTTATGAGGTGGTTTAAAAAAAGTGTTTGCTTCAGATTTTTTGATTTTTTTTTGCATGTAATTTTCGCAAAAAAAAAATGGTATAAATGGATTTATGTATTCATACATTCCTAAAATAAATGTCTATTTTTGGAAATTTTTCGGTTTTATTTTTGTTTTTTTCCTTTATACGATTTTTAGTGCCTATTCCTGCCTAGTGCGCTTTTTTTAGCCTTTTTTATAGAATTTTAGTAAATCGTTGCAGTACTTACATATGTTAAGGAAATAATAGATATACTCTACCTAAATTTATTTATTTCCTCATTACTTCCCCACTTAGGCGCCAACTTCGCTCCTTTACCAATCAAACATTCATTCAATCAATCATTTAAAACTTTCTGTAGGCCATTATAAGTGTCCCTGACAATAAGAGAATAAAGAATTCATTCACTATTCAACTCAGTACGTAAAAAATATTTCGGTATGCCCCTTCAGTTCGGATTCATACATGAAGTAGCTATAAAAAATTACTCATACGCCCCAGTGCACGCATTTATTTTAAACTCCACTATCATAGTGATAGCTCGTAGACGAGCGCTTGCGTAATTGCTTGACTTTGGTTCATTATCTAAGCAATCGAATTGAATCCTTCATACTTAAATAAATAAAGATACATACATATGTACATACATGCATATATGCATAGTCATATCTGCATAGACTAAAATTCACTCACTCTCACAAACATAACCGGCTAGGTCACTGACTTGAAAGGCAAAAACAGCTCGGTATGTGGAGCAAAGCGATACAATTCATTTTAATTGATGACAAATTGCTATAGATGAGTGCAGCTAATCCCACTCAGCTATCAATTATTATTGGTAATGAATTTGCTAGAATAAGTACATGTACTCTGTTAGGGTTATCCGAAAATTAAGTATGAAGTTGCGATCAATGCTCCCTTCACTTTATTCATAAAGGTTGAAACTAGGGCTGTGCGATTATTTGANTACTAGGGCTGTGCGATTATTCG